CCACAATGCTGGCTGGGGGGAGGGGGGGGAAGGTCTGCTTCACTCACTAGTATGACTTAAAGGTTCCAAATACTGACATTCAAAATTGGCCAGAAACACTGAGACATTAAAACCAAAACAAAGCCCTAGTGCTCTTCTCTTGAATCTTAATATCTCATCATTCCACTTTAACTTCAAAGATAAGGGCAAAAGAGTGAAGATCATGCCATAAAGTTTTCTTGAGGGTGATGACCATCTCTTGTTGTACCATGGACCCATCTGGGCCTGACACATAGTAGGAGTGCGATAATTTCAGCATATGAATGAGAGAAAAACAGAAGCAGATGAATGATGTTTAGTTCCTGAAAGAGGGTGGTATATATTCAAGAGAAAATGTATCAATCCTCTGTTTAATTAGGCAAATCAGAGAAAACTGTGAATGCAGCTGATTTGTTATTTCTCCCAAACATCAAAATTAAAAATAACTTTGCTTGAACAATAGCATATTTTTGGAAAATGATTCCAGAATGCAGTTTTAAGCTATGAATCGGTATTTCTGTACCTATGATTCAAAAGCACTGGGTGGAGAGGTAGCATCAGAGATGAGGTTGTCTACGCAACCTGGGGCTCCAACACAGTGAGAACAGCCTCAGAACGGGTAAGTCCATTCCTGCAGCATTGCTAGTCTTTGAAGGAAGCTCATGTATTTTCCTGAGAAGGGGGACCCACTGGGAACTCCTTTTCAGTGGAGACAACATCATTAAAATGGGACATTTGAAAACAGTGGGGGAAAGCTGCTTAGTTGCCTGCTTTAAAACAGGAAATTAGTATCTTGTGCAAGTTTCCAGAAGGGCAGGTGAAATGGCTCAGGCTACTTAAGACTTGATCTCCTCTGCACCTAAGTACTATAAAGAGCTCTGTTAAATGAGACACCCCCCCCCCATCTGTTTCTTTCCAGTAGAGAACCTTACAGTTCTTCACTGCAGAAAATCAAACAGGAAGCACCCACATAGGCACTTTGCAAAGAGGGGTCTGTCAGAGGGGTGGGCGTGCCAGCAGAGGTCAGAAGGGAAAAAGCAGCGCCAAGGGACTTCTGCACTTTTGGGCAGGAGAGAAACAGCACTTTCTCTGTCAGCACCACTGCACAGTCACCCAACGCCATGTATTGGCAGTTGGTATTCAGTGCCAATGGCTAGGGAGACAGAACGGCCTACAGACTCCAAAACAAATCCAAATACTTGTAGGCTGTTTGCATTTGCTAAATTTAAATAGTTATTTCATGAAAAATTTCACAATTTCACTCTATGAGACACAAAGAACTTATTTACTGTGTAAATTTAACAGAAACTCTGTTTTTCTTTTTAACCCCCATCCAGGGGTATTTTATGAGAAAGGTAATAGAAAAAAATAATTTTACAGTGATGGCTGTAACTGAAGTCAAGTTATGATACAATTATTATTTATTTTTTCTCTACAAGAAATTTATCACTGACAAACTTGAATATGATGGATTAACATACAGAATAGTGTTGCTTAAAGAACTAGCATTCTTTAATCTTTATTGCTGTAGTTGGAGGCTCAAATTCCACATTCTCTCGCATCTCTAGGTCCAACTGCTCACGCATGAATGGGAGAAAAATAGGGCAAGTAGGTCAAGAAGAGAAATAAATGTCAAAATAGGTTCCTAGGTCGTTCAAAAATGCACTGACCTCCAGGGCTCTGCTGAAACTTGAGGAAACAGAAGGAAGTAGCCATCCTCAGACTCTCCGGGTCAGACTGCTGCTTCCCAGGGGCTCTCAGAGCAGATCTCACAGGCGGTCTAGGACTTCGAGACCAAACTTAAACCGTAACTTGCTAATGCATGTTTCTGGAAAGATTTTAGTTGAGTGGATAACAACCTCTGTGACTGAAATGTTTTACAGAGAGGCACAACTTTGCAAACACTTCTCAGTCAAGTGCCTAAACTTCTCTACCAAAATAGACTGTGGGGTGCCAGGACAGTCTATTAGCACAATGCCAATAAATAATGAAACGAGGGTCTTTCAGCTTCCACATCTCCGAATCTTACAGGGATTGAATATAGCTAATTCTCTCCTTCTGTAATCTACAAAGTATCTCCTTTTAAAGAGAGTTAACAATGTTTGCAAAAAGTAGGGCTCTTCCCCTCCATTTTTCTGCCACCCAAGAGTGTCATCAACCCTAAAGATCAACTCTGCTCTCTCCATCAATGACCAAGTGGTTCCACTTCTTCCTCCCACAAAAGGCTTGGGATGGTACCCACTTTCTAGAGAAGTAAACCATTTCTGATGCAGGCCTTCACTCCCTGGACCCCTTCTTATCTCTACTGTGCGAGCAATTGTCCTCCCTGTTCTACTCCTCTCAGGTACTCACTGCAACAAAAGACAACAGTTTTCTCCACCCAGTAGACCCCATAGGAAAGGCACCTGCTGATCATAGCCACAGCTCCTACTTGTCTCTCTTGTCCCTTTCCTATTCTGGCCATTTTGATCACTTAGGACATTTCTGCAGGAAGATAAACTACTGTTCAAGGTTTGATGAAGAGATGCAGTACAACACTGGAGAAGAACAGGAGTGTGGCAAAGTGGCAAGACAAGCTTAGTGGCTAACATTGCGAACAGATGGATGCACCATACTTTACTATGCTACAGAGAGGAAGTCTGGTGTTGTGGGTCCTGGAGTCAGCCTGCTTGGGCTCAAAAGTTCCAATAAGGCTGTCTGACCCTGAGCAAGGTGCTTAACTACTCACTAGGTAATGGCATCCTCAGGGATCAAGTAGAAATGACAGCACCCACCTCTTGGAGACTCACATGATACAACATCAACTTGGAAACAAAGAATAAGCACTGTTGGCAGCTATTAATATTACACACATATTTTAAAAGAATGAGGTCACTCTAATGTATGCACTTGACTAATGTCTGTGATGTGTTTTTGCAGAAACGCTGCAGAATAATATGCTTAGTATGTTTCCATGGAGGAAGAAAAAAGAAATACATGATGTGTATCTGCAGGTACACCCAAAGAAGCGTGGAAAAGCGCTCACCACCCAGCGACCTGTCACTACTCCCAGGGAGTGAGGCACCATAGGCAGAAAACTGGCATTTTTATGCAGCTCTTGGCTTGAATTCACACACTGCTGTTAGCATCTAAACATTTCAACTTGACAGTGGCCTCTCTCTCCTTCAAAATGAACATGCTTCGTGTTCTCAGTCTAGGAAGAGACGAGGAATCGCAGGCCTGGAGAGCAAGAGAGCGAGCCCGGCCAGCGCCCTCTGTCCTCCATGCGTCATTTCAGATTCCCTCGCGTTCTTCACGGTGCGTGCACACAGCCCGCGCCCGCCACAGGCACCCACTCTGCCATCGGCCTGGCCGCCCTGGCCGTCCCTCTCTCCCTCCATGTCCACCCCAGGCTTTCTTCTGCACTGTGTCCAAGTCGCTTCCATCCCCCGTGTTCTAACATCTCCCTTCCTCTCCCTCGCTAGCTGCCTGGCCTTGTCTGGCTCTTGCCCTGAGAAACCCACTGCGTGGGTGACAGTAGGCCCCTACCACGCAGGTGCTAGCAGGCACAAGGGCCCCTCCCTGCAGTAGGCCTCTCCAAGTTGCTCTGTCTTGCGAAGAGTCCAAATGGATTTTTAAACAGTATTGTTACTTCGGCGGTTGGTGTGTTCGGGCAGGCATTTTTCCCCTCCTCCTTTAGGTCCTTCCTTCCAGGTGCGTTTGTTTTGGCGTTGGCTTTCTCCCGAGAGTCACAGTGTTAGCTTGTACCTTCCACACCTGTCTTTTATTAGGCGTTCATGTTCCCTGTCTTCCCACCACCGGCCACACGCCAGTCCTCTACCTTCGTTATGCACTTTTTTATTTCTACACACGACTCCCACCTCTCGCACCAGAACCCGGAGCGTGAGGAGCCAGGCCTGCCCGGGGGTATCCGGGCCACCAGAACCGGGTCAGCATCGAGGCGCCCGGGCGTCGGGAGAGCGGATTGGTTCCCTGATGAGCCAATCAGCGAGCGACGCCATGCACGGGAGGGGAGGGCCAAGATTATCCAGGCGACCGGGTTAAAGGAAAACGGGCAGGTGCGCCAGGTGCCGGGGCTGTGCACGCACTCTGGCACCCACGGGATCATCATTAGCCTCGGAACTCAGGCCTAAACTCCCCCGTCGTGTTGTTCCCGTTTCACAAAGCTGACCTAGGAGACCAGAGGGAGGGGACGTTACTTATCCTACCATTCACAAGAGGGTCATTAGCAGTCAATGGAGAAGGCGCCGTGCGTGGGGGAAGGGCAACAGGAGCCTCCCTCTCGCCTATCCCCGTCTCACCCCGCGTCGTCAGCCCAACTCAGCCGCTTCTGACATAGCAGAGCACCCAGACGCTCACTTAATCGCCCAAGCCGATTACCGAAATGCTCTATTAGACACTTGAAGTAAGTTTCCCCTTCCCCGGGGACCAGGGAGGGACACAGTGTGGGCGTCTATGGGACGCGCACCGTTTTCCTCCCCGCTAGCGGAGCGGCACAGCGACCGACTGGCTACCGGCAGAGACCCCGACAGCTCGGGAAACGCACAGCGGCGCGCGGTCGCCCTCGTCCGGGGACCTAACACCGTCCCCGGGGCGGCCGCGGCTCTCCCAAGCCTCTGCCCCACCAAGTCCCCACGCGGGGTGCGCAGGGTTTTCCAGAGGGTGCGAGCGCAGAATCGAGGTTCCTCTACTGTTTGAAACTTAAGCAGAGCCGCTGCACCCACTTTCCCCCCAGGTGCACAGAGCCGTCCCACCCCGGCTTTCCCACGGTCCGTCAGCGCCGCCCTGGCCGCTCCCGCCCCACCGGAGCTCCAGGCGCCGCGTCCTTGGGGCTGGGGGAAGGGGGAGCAGGGAGAAAGGGGAAATGGCCGGAGCGGGTCGAGAGGTGTCCGCCGAGGCCTGGCCGGCGGGGTGCCCCGGGGACGGCAGGCAGGGAAGGGCCGCGGAGAGCGCAGGGTGCCCGCCGAAGTCGCCGCACTCACTCTGCGTAGCCGGTGGCCCAGGGCAGCCGCCGGGTCTCCTTGAGGATGAGGATGGGGCGGGCGATGTGGTCGGCGCTGCACTCCACCTCGTCCTGAGACAGCCCCAGGAACTCCGGCCGCCCGTAGGGGAAGCGCAGGGGCAGGTCCGAGCCTCCGCAGCCGCCGCCGCCGCCGCCGTGCTCGGAGCCGGAGCTGCCAGCCATGATGCCGCCCATGAAATTGGCCACGGCAGATTTCACTCGAGTGAGCATATTACTCCGGCGCCCGGCAGCAGCGGTGCAAGCAGGGGGCGGCGGCCGGGCGAGGCGCAGCGCGGGGCATGCAGGCTGCGGTGGGCGCCGGGCGCTCGGGCCGCTGGGGTGCTGGGGCGCGCAGCGCGCGGCTCCCGGAGCTTAGTGCTGCTGCAGGGGGCCGAGGGCCGGCCTCCCCTACGCCGCGCTGCCGCCGCCGCCGCCGCCTCCCCCGGGTACACTTCCGCAACCGAGCGGCACGGAGCGCGCCGGCAGGGCCGGGGAAGACTCGGCGCGCTCCGGCAGCGGCCGGGGAGCCGCAGCTGCAGCAGGTCCCTTCCCCGCCCCCTGCGCTCCGCTCCTGCGTGCGCCGGGCTGAGCCTACACGGCGAGCCCGTGGAGCCGCCGCGGCTGCTGCCACGGCTACCGCCGCCGTCGAGTCATGTGATGATCCGGCGGCGAGGGCTCGGGCTGCTGCGGCGGCCGCGGCTCGGCTCCTCCCCTAGCACCCGGACCGTGACCTCCCTGGGGTGGGGGTGCCCGGCAGGGTCGGTCCCTGGCAGAGGGGATGAGGGCGCTGTGAGCTGGTGGCGGTGCAGGTGTTAGGGGCTGTCACGTGGAGCCCGGCAGCCAGCCGGGAAGAGCCGGTGGAGGAACTCATGCCTGCAGGAATGCCGCCTTGGTCCCGGCGAAGGGAAACTTAGGGAGCTGGAGGGGCAAGGGGACACAGGTGCAGCCAGTGTGGGACGGCTCCCAATCTCGTAGGGAAAATAAGCGAATCCACCTGGTGTGAGAAACTTTTTTTAAAGGTTAAACAAGTAAACTCCACACTGCACCAAAAAAAAAAAAATCATTACAAGATATTCCCTAGGCATTTGTAGAATCACCTTTTCTCCCATTATTGTCACATGCGTCATTGTCCGTGGAGCAAACCCTGCTTCGAACCCACAGTAAGCCTACTAGTGAAGAAGACAAAAGGTGTCTAAAAGATAAGACGTGAGCATTCTTCAGCCGCACTCAATTATGTAATAAATGTGTACAGGCATTTTCCTCCAAGATAGCAACAAAAGTATTAGCACAGATGTATTTTCTTCCTCTTCATTTTCTGTTACCAAGTGATATTTGTACGTTTTTATGGGGTACAGGTAAGCTTTCAACACACCTATGCATCATGAACTCATCAAATCAGATCATTAGCATTTCCATTTCCTTACTTATGATCAGTCTTCGGGATCCTCTTAGTTCTTTATCAAATATACAGTAAGCTCTTGTGAGCCGTAGTCACATTCTAGAATGTATCTCTTCTTCCTTTCTGTGGCTTAGTCCCTGTTATTCAACCTCCCTCAATCTCTCGCCACTCCAGCTTCTTGTGCTATTCTTAAGGCTTTTTTTTTAAAGCCTTCCACTGGTATAGTAGTAAACATTTATCTCTCTGGGTCTAGCTTATTTCAGTTATCACCATGTTTTTGACTACCATCCATTTTGCTGCATGTGACAGGATTTCATTCTTTTTATGGCTGAATAATATTCCATTGCCTATAAACACCACGTTTTCTTTATCCATACTTCATTGATGGGTACCTAGATTAAGTCCTTATCTTGACTTACTGAATAATGCAGAAATGAACATAGGAGTGCAGATAATTCTTGAATATGCTGATTTCATTTCTTTTGAATTATATATATATATATATCCCAAACTGGGATAGCTGGGTCATGTGGCAAATCTACCTTAAGCTATTTGGGGACCCTCCATTCTGCTTCCCATAATGGTTGTATTAATGTGCATTCCTAGTGACACTGTATAATGGTACCTTTTTCTCCACATCCTTGCCAGCATTTGTTAGTTTTTTATAATGGCCATGCTGTCATGAGATGCCATCTCATTGTGGTTTTGATTTGCATTTCCTTAATGTTAATGTATTGAACATTTTTTCAATATTTGTAATTTGGATTGCTTTTTTGTAGAAATGTCTATTCAAATCATTTGCTCTTTTAAAATTGGATTTTGGGTGTTGTTGAGGTTTTTTTTTTTTTTTTTTTTTTTTTTTTTTAGTTCTTGGTATATCCTGAGTATTTATCCTTTGTAACATGAGTAGTTTGCAAATATTTTCTCCCATTCCATGGACTGTCTCTTCACTTTGTTGATTGTGTCCTATGCTGTGCAGAAGTGTCTTAGTTTGCTGTAATCCTATTTCTCTATTTTTGCTTTTAGAGTCTTGTCTAAAAAAAACATTGAGGGGCTGGCACTGTGGCATAGTGGGTAAAACCACCACCACCTGCAGTGCCGGCATCCCATATGGGTGCAGGTTCGAGTCCCAGCTGCTCCACAGCTCTCTGCTGTGGCCTGGGAAAGCAGTAGAAGGTGGCCCAAGTCCTTGGACCCCTGCACCCACGTGGGAGTCCCAGAAGAAGATCCTGGCTCCTGGCTCCTGGCTTCGGATCAGCGAAGCTTCGGCCGTTGCGGTCATCTGGGGAGTGAACCAGCAGATGGACGATCTCTCTCTCTCTTTCTCTGCCTCTCTGTAACTCTGCCTTTCAAATAAATCAATCTTAAAAAATTAAAAAAAAATAACACCTGAATTGTTTTCCCTATTTTTTTTCTATTTGTTTCATCTTGCATTTTGGTATCTGTTCCATTTTGAGTTGATACTGGTTTTGGCTGAGGGATGGAGGGGCTGCTGGTCAAAGCACAACCTTCTGCCCATGGATAGGTATCTAGTTTTCCTGGCATCATTTATGGAAGAAGTATATTTTGTTTTCTTCATCCAAAGCATTGTCAGAAAATTATCTGGGGGGCACTGATGAAACTAAAGAAACACGTAGAATACAGCAATTGCATTTCTTGCTAAAGCTAAAATGTGAATACTTGCAATAATAACATGTCAAACAAGCTGGAAAAAAAGTCTTCAAAAAACTGATGAATATGCTTCATTGAGGGTAACATTGGTTAAATATTGGCCTTTCTTTTTCTGGAATGTTTGCAATAGGATCTGTATCCTGTTCCTCCCTTTACCTGTCATTTAACCGGCCAGGATTTCGTGTTCCTTGTGCAGGTCTGCACTGACCATCTCACTTGGATGTGAAAGAATACAGGCTCTCATTCCTCTCTCTTGTTGAGAGGGATTGATATTTCCCCATAGTAAATAAACCATTTATTTATAAATAACAATTTCCTCATGAACCAAGAGATTAACCTCTAACTTTTGTGTAACAAATTACACGAACTATATACTCCCATCACTTTGTATTCTGTCAAAGGATCAGTGTTACTCTAAGCCTGTGTACCTGACAGCTATCTAGAGTGTGTTGAAATGCAAAATTACTTTCTCCTTTTTGTCATCACCTGGATTTGATTCAGTTTAGAGAGATTTTTCTGTGCTTGCCTATGAATATTTTGAGGTTGTCTTCCAAAGCCAAAACAGAGCAGTGCCATAGCAAATAATCTCATATTTTCTTCAAAAGCAGGACACCCCCTCCTCAGTTATGCCTTTATTGTTAGCACATCCCACTTTTAATAAATTCTTATATTTCCTTTAGTGAAAAAAAAATTGTCTTGATATTACTAGGTAATTGTCTCAATTCTCTTATAATTGCTTTGGCTATGGAAAATTGGCATATCCAGTTCAACCCCTCTCACCTGCAGTAGTAGGATCACCTGGAAACTTGTTTAGAAAAGTAAGTTCTCTGGGATTCGTTTAGTCCCTGGGGTTGGATCCACCAATCTAGCTAACCAAGTCCTCCAGCTGACTCAGATACAAACCATGTAAGAACAACTGGCATACAGGAGAACTGTCCTGTGTATTTAGTGCACAGGCAGTCATGAAAGTACAGGAAATATGTCAAATTAGAAAATAACCAGCGACACACTTGCTCTGACTCTAAATGGATGTAGAGCGAGATAAATGAGACTCATGAGTTGGCTCTGTTCGGGAACTGTTCTGTTTCCTTTCTGTGGGCTTGTGTTAATGTAGAACCCTGAGTACATTTGCTGTGGGCAGATATGTGAATTCTTTAGCATATAGAAAAAGGAAGAGGAAAAGAAGGAAGTAGGTTCGATGACTGCCTCCTGATCATGTCCCAACAGACAGTCTGCCAATGCACATGTCTTTGTCATGTGCCAAGCAGGGGCAGAAAAATTATGTAAATACATAATATATAAATTATATAAACTTATTTATATTCATTTAAATGTTTATATAAATTAACATTTATTATATAGTTATAAATACATAATATATATTTAAACAACCACATTTTTATAATATTTTTCTTTCACTTTATGATTTTAGGGGATATATAATAATTATATATATTCATGGGATACAGTGTGATTTTTTTAAAAAGATTTATTTATTTGACAGGCAGAGCTACACAGAGAGAGAGGTCTTCCATCCACTGGTTCACTCCCCCAGATGGCTATAACATCTGGAGCTGCATTGATCCGAAGCCAGGAGCCAGGAACTTCATCCAGGTCTCCCACCTGGAAGCATGGGCCCAAGGTCTTGGGCCACCTTCTACTGTTTCCCCAGGCCATAGCAAAGAGCTGGATCAGAAGTAGAGCAGCCAGGACTCAAATCGGCACTACAGGTGGTGGGCGGTTTTACCCACTTCACCGCAGCACTAGCCCCTACAACGTGATTTTGACACGGGTAATTTTTTTTTTAAAGATTTGTTTACCTGAAAAGCAAAGTTACAAAGAGAGAGAAAGGGAGAGACAGAGAGAGAGAGGTTTTCCATCTGCTGGTTCACTCCCCAAATGGCCACAATATCTGGGGCTGGGCCATCCAAAGCTTGGAGCCAGAGGTTCTTCTGGGTCTCCCACATGGGTGGCTGGGGCCCAAAATATTTGAGCCATCCTCCACTGCTTTCAAGGGAACATTAGCAGGGAGCTGGGTCAGAAGTGAAGTAGCAGGGACTTGAACTGGCTACCATATGGTATGCCAGTGTTACAGGTGGCAGCTTAACCATCTTGGGTGCAATGCTGGCTCCCAGGCAATTTTTTTTTAAAGGTTCCAGAGTGCTCACTGAAAAAAAAAACAAAACAAAACAAAAAAAAAACACACACAGCATTCTTAACCTTTATAGGGAAGGTAAAAACTTTTCCTCTACCATCTAACATTCAGAATATGGTGACTTGTAAACTAAACTGAAAAACATGAAGACGGATTAGCAAGAGAGAAGAGTTTAGTTATGTGTGAAATGCACCTACATGCAGGTGTGCTCAGTGAGGACCAATTCAAATAGCAGTTAAATAGTTTTTCTCCCTCACACGGGATTTATGGTCGCGTAGGAGAGAAGTGATTTTTTGCTTAACCCAGCACTATGTCCGTGAGTTTCATCCCTCTGACAAAAGACAGAATAACAAGAGGAAAGCATACTATTTGATTTAACTTAAGCTTTAAGTGGCACAGGAGCCTTCGGAAATGACGATCGAAACAGGGCCACCTGTGTATTTTATGCTGGGTTTGGTGAAATGGACAGCTGTAGAGGACACT